AACTTTTAGTCGTCACCTCAGTATCCGTTGAGAGGCATTGAGTCGACCTCTGAGAGTTTCCATAGCTGATGAGCATTCGATGTTTGCGACTGATGTGATCCGATGATGTGTGCTTGATATTTTCGGAGTTGAGTTTCCGATAGATCTGGTGCCGATCGCGATGAGGGATGTCTGTGTCATCGTGGGCATGGATTGGTTGAGTCGATTTGGAGCTGTGATCGACTGTGAGCGCCAGCTGGTGGCTATAAGAGACCCTAGTGGGGGAGTACTTATCGTGTACGGCGAGAGCACTAGATCTGGATCAGCATTCTGCTCTGCTGCCAGGGTGAGGCAGAGTTTGCAGCAGAGATGTATGGGGTTTCTGGCGTATGTGTTGGATGCTCGGGCTTCTGCGGAGAGATCGAGTTCTCTCTCCGAGGTTCCGATAGTGTGCGAGTTTCCAGATGTTTTTCCCGAGGAGTTGCCGGGTGTGCCTCCCGAGAGGCAGGTAGAGTTTCAGATTGATTTGGTGCCGGGTGCGGCCCCTATTGCCAAGGCACCATATCGCCTTGCGCCGCCAGAGATGCAGGAGTTATCCTCTCAGCTCTAGGAGCTGCTGGGGAAGGGGTTTATCAGGCCGAGTAGTTCGCCGTGGGGAGCCCCGATCCATTTTGTCAAGAAAAAGGATGGTTCACACCGGATGTGCATTGATTACCGGGAGTTGAACAAGTTGACAGTCAAGAACCGTTACCCACTTCCGAGGATCGACGATTTGTTCGATCAGTTGCAGGGGGCGTCTTGGTTTTCCAAGATCGATCTGAGGTCTGGGTATCATCAGATGAGAGACCGTGAGGAGGATGTCCAGAAGACGGCCTTCAGGACACGTTATGGGCACTATGAGTTTGTGGTGATGTCTTTCGGGCTCACCAACGCACCGATAGCATTCATGGACCTCATGAACCGGGTGCGCAGGCCCATGTTGGATCGTTCGGTGATTGTGTTCATCGACAATATTTTGGTATATTCGAGGACCAGAGAGCGGAATGAGGATTATCTGAGAGAGATTTTGGGTATACTGAGGTCGGAGAGGCTCTATGCCAACTTCTCCAAATGTGATTTCTGGTTGCGAGAGGTCCAGTTCCTGGGACACCTCGTTAACTAGAATGGTATTTTGGTCGATCCGGCCAAGATTGAGGCAATCATGAGGTGGGAGGTGCCGAGATCCCCCACCGAAATCAGGAGTTTTCTGGGACTGGCCGGGTACTATCGGAGATTTATTAGGGATTTCTCCAAGATTGCCGTCCCACTCACCAGTTTGACCCGGAAGGGTGTCGCGTTTATTTGGGGTCCCGAGCAGCAGACCTCATTCGAGACCCTTCGCCAGAGATTGTGCGAGGCTCCCATGTTGGCCCTCCGGGAGGGGATGGAGGATTTTGTGGTTTTCTGCGACGCATCTATTTCGGGCATGGGTGCGGTTCTGATTGAAAGAGGGCACGTGATAGTGTACGCATCGAGGCAGTTGAAGCCTCATGAGACGAGATATCCCACCCATGATCTGGAGCGGGGGGCAGTAGTGTTTGCCCTCAAGATTTGGCGTCACTATCTGTACGGGGTTCGGTGTACCACATACACGGACCACAAGAGTTTGAAATATCTTATTGATCGGCCCAACCTTAACATGAGACAGAGGAGATGGTTGGATGTGGTGAAAGATTACGACTGCGAGATCCTGTACCATCTGGGCAAGGCTAATGTGGTAGCCGACCCCCTGAGCCGTAGAGCAGAGAGTGCTCCGATCCGAGACGTGTGTATGAGGATGACAGTGATGACTCCAGTCTTAGATATCATTCGAGAGGCCCAGGCGGAGGCCGTGAGACTAGAGAACCGCAAAACGGAGCGGGTGATTGGGCAGGTGTCCGAGTTTGTGACAGACAGCCGCGGGCTTATGACCTTTCATAGAAGGATTTGGGTGCCCTTTTCGGGCAGAGCACGACGTGTACTGATGGAGGAGGCACATAACTTGAGATTTTCAATCCACCCTTGGGCCACTAAGATGTATTTGGACCTGAAAAGAGACTATTGGTGGCCCTGTATGAAGAGGGATGTGGCTTGGGTAGTCGAGAGGTGCTTGACCTGTCGTTGGGTTAAGGCAGAGCGCCAGCGTCCGCATGGCAAGTTGCTGCCACTAGAGGTTCCCCAGTGGAAATGGAAACAGATTTCCATGGATCTTATCACCAAGTTGCCGAGGACCGCGCGGGGTGTCGACGCGATTTGGGTGCTTGTAGACCGGTTGACGAAGAACGCTCACTTCCTTGCTATCAGTGAGAGCTGTTCTGCTGAGAGGCTGGCAAAGATATATGTGAGAGAGGTGGTGGCTCGGCATGGAGTGCCGACATCTATAGTGTCCGATCGGGATGTGCGTTTTACTTCCAGATTCTGGAAGAAGTTCCACGAGGAATTGGGAACGCGATTGCATTTTAGCATCGCCTACCACCCACAGACAGACGGACAGAGTGAACGGACGATTCAGACGCTCGAGGACATGCTTCGAGCGTGTGTTATGGATTTCGGTGGAAGTTGGGACACATACCTACCCCTGGCTGAGTTCTCTTACAACAACAGCCACCATTCCAGTATCGGCATGCCTCCTTTCGAGCTCCTTTGTGGGAGGAGGTGTCGGACCCCCATCTGTTGGGGAGAGGTAGGACAGCGAGTGATGGGTGGCACTGAGATAGTGCTCAAGACGACTGATCAGATTCAGCAGGTCAGGCAGAGGTTACTGACGGCTCAGAGTCGCCAGAAGATTTATGCGGACAGGCGACGGTCCGAACTCGAGTTTCAGGTTGGAGATTTCGTTCTCCTGAGGGTATCCCCGTGGAAAGGGGTAATACGGTTCAGGAAGAGTGGCAAGCTGGGGCCTCGATTCATCGGCCCTTTCAGGGTGACCGCTAGAGTGGGTAAGGTAGCATATCGTTTAGAGCTACCTGCGGAGTTGAGCCAGATCCACGAAACCTTGCACGTGTCCCAGCTGAGGAAGTGTGTGGCCGATGAGACGGCAGTGGTACCACTAGAGGAAATTCAGGTGGATTCGAGCCTGGATTATATCGAGAGACCTATCGCGATTATGGACCGAAAGGTGAAATTGTTAAGGAACAAAGAGGTGCCCTTGGTTCAGGTTCAGTGGCAACATCGGAAGGGGTCCGAGACGACTTGGGAACCGGAGTCCGAGATGCGGGAGCAACATCCGGAGTTATTTGAGGAGCATGACTTCGAGGGAGAAGTCTGATCCTAGTGGGGGAGAATTGTAACATCCCGAGTTCAGGTAAACCTCGAGAACCTTGATCGTTTGAGCTATTGTCATTTTTGGCCTTAAGTTATAAAAGAGTGAAAACGAGCATGCGGGGCGTACCTGAGGGTACGCTTAACGTACTCGTCAGCGTGCATGAAACGCGGAGACCACCTAGTACGCTGGGTGTAGCCGTGGGTACGCTGGGCATACTAGGCCCAAAATGCAACCCTAATTTGGGGTGAGTCCCCTATATAAGGAACATGATGGCCTCATTTCTGGCCACCATTTCCAGAGAGAAAACCCTAAGAGTGCCCTTATCTCCATTCTAGAGCTTGTGTGTGTGTGTTTGAGCTTTGAGAGGGTGTTTGTGTGGTTTTGAAGAGAAGAGAAGGCCTTGAAGAAGGAGTGTGGGAGTCCAAGCTTCTAGATCTGAGCAAATCTGAGTGGGAAGCTTCTCTTTGAGGTATAAAGTTTCAAACTTTTCCTTTCCTTTCTTGAGTATGTTGTGATGAGCATTTTAGGGTTTTGTCCCAAAAAGGTGGAGTCTTGATGAGATCTTGAACTCCAGAGTCTAGGACTAACCCCTTTTGAGTGTATGAGTAGTGTTATGTCATAAAAATCCAATCTTGGTTGGTGAAATCACTCCATGCATGAGATTTGAGACCCTTGGGACAAAAAAGTGTGTATTTTTGGAGGAGGGAGACTTTTCAGCCATGCAAAGGCTTAAAGTCGATGACTTTATGGATTAAGAGGCATTAGAAGGTCCAGATCTGGGATATGAGCTTATGTCTTAACTGATTAAGACCATGAGTATGAAAAGAGCAAAACTAGGGCGTACGCTGGGCGTAACCCCCAGTACGCGCCGCGTAGGGGCCGAGCACCCCGATTCTGGATAGCAGCCGAGTACGCCCAGCGTAGGGAGTTGGAACGCTCAACGTACTCCCTGCTGTTGACTTTTGTTGACTTTTAGGGTTTGGTCAAGATTGAGGACAATTGAGCTTTGGAGGGGTAAAATGGTCTTTTACCCTTCTGTGAGTTGTAGAAGGGTTAGTCTAGCTTCTTGAGGGCCAATTTTAATTAGGGATAATTATTATGTGTTAGGCGGAGGCTAGACCGGTGGATAGAGATCAAGATCCCGAGTGCAAGATTTTCATTCATTAGCTGACGAGGTGAGTCTTCTCACTATACTTACCTTGAGTGGTAGTTTTATGTGTGACCAGAGGGTCTTATGTGCATGAGCTGTGTAATGAGATATCCTGCTATTTGTTTGTGTTATGCTTTTGTGTATTATTTTGAGTTGCTGAGTTAAGGGACCGGAGGGTCCATCTGAGTTGTGGGACCGGAGGGTCCCACTGAGACACATCGACCAGAGGGTCTTATTGAGTTATAGCCTCGAGTGGAAAATGTGTTGTGTGTGGTATTTTGGGGAAGTCACTAAGCTTTATGCTTACCGTGTTATGTGTTATGTGTTTCAGCTAGCTATGAGGATCGCGGCAAGGCACCGACATGATTGTACACACCGGCGGGAGATTGTTATTTTTATGATTCTGGGATTGTGTTTTATGTGTTGATATTGAGACATATGTGATTTGAGAATTATGAAACGAGTTTTTATTGTGTTTAAAAATGAAAAATTTGTTTGGAAATTTTCGTCGTTACAGAGATGATCCCCCTACATATACATCGGTTTAAAAAAGTAATAAAGCCTCCAGGCATTCAAACCAAATGTAGCCTAAGGGTCCGAAGGATCATAACCTTCTGCTGAAAATTTAGCACATACGAGTCCAGGGAGCAACCTGAGCAGTGGCATATTGAAGACCGTTTGCGATGTGAGAATAAGAAAGAGCATCGAGAGCCTCCAGGGTAGCCGGAGGAAACGCATGTGAGATTCCGCCCATGGAGATACACTCCGTACCACTCACGGGCAGGTTCCTGTGCTGACAAAAGAGAACCGGGTCTGAGATTCCGCCCAGGGAGATACACACCAGTAACACCCACAGACGAATGACCCGCTGCCGACGGAGTATCACCTGGAACACATGGAGGTACGGAGTAAGTGCCCATAACGCCTGGCTCCCCCGGCCGATGCAAATCCGACGCCTCTACCGCTTGCGGGTCGTCAATATCAGCAATCTCAATAACAACAAAGGACCTAGAAAACAGAGGATCAATAATGCGTTTTCGACGCAAATGCCGCCTAATAGAACTACCACCGACATCTTCCTCAAGGGAGGAATCCACAGTAGCAGGCCGACGTCGAGAGATGATATTGCCATATTTATACATGTTTTTAGGCAATATTTACCTACATTTTTATACATATTTTGGTTATTTGCATTGAATAATGATACTTATAAGTTTAAATAGTACTTGCAGCCAAATAAAAGGCATTTTGAAGAAAAAGGACTAAAAGCGTCAAAGGAGGGAACTTTGGAGGATGAAGATTTGAAAGAATAAAAATCCGGCATAAACACGCTCTCACGACGTGAGTATTGAAGACTCACGACGTGAGTTGGAATATTCCAGAAGATAAGCTTGGCGTAGAAGAATACTTGTCAAACACGGATAACCACTGAATTCACGCCGCGAGACATACTTGTTCACGACGTGAGTATGGATAATCCAAAAACTATATATATCCTTGATCCCTATGACTTTAAGGAGGTTGCCTGACTTAGAAAGGTTTCAAAAGTCGAAAATCACAGAAAAAGAAGGCCTGGAAATTGTTCTTTACACCAAGGAAGAAGAAGAAGTCATAATTCGATAATTAGTTTGGTACTTTTAAATATGCTTTTAAATATGACTTGTGTTAGCTTATTTGTTAGAATGTCCAGCTAAATCTAGCTGCTTCTGTTAGCTAGATGAAGCTGGAACTCATGGTTTTAATATATTAGTTTAGACTTTGCTTGTTGGTTATGTCTTGTGTTTGATTGGTATACCTAGCATCCTTGATTTGATAATTAGATTGCTTAAATTTCTTATTCTGTGTAATTAATGACCATTATTCTGCACGAATTGGAACACCTAGTAATTTATTGAACATTAGATTATTAGAGCTAAGATCGAACCAATCTTAGTTAAGGAATTGAATTAATAAATTAGGCTGTGTTAGAGAACTCATGTTATGACCATAATTTGTGTTTGTTAACCCAATCCTACATAGCTCCAATATTTTTCAACAATTGATTATGTGTTAAATTATGTGTTACCATACATAGATCTACATGAATTAATTGATATTAGTAAATTTAGAACTAAATTGCTAATAATGTTTTAATTGCTAACCAACAAGAGTAGTCATAATTAACTTATAAACCATTGAGGGAAAGTGGATTTGAACTAACAGAAGTGTTTTGTTTATTGATTGAATTGTGTTAAGAAATTAAGTTCATCTAAACTTGCAAAATTAGATAAACCATTACTTTGCTAGGAAATTAGGTTAATTTAATAGTAGGTAAATTAATTAGTTAAAACCGTTCCATGTGATCGACACCCGACTTACCCAAACTATTCTATAATTCGACTAGGTACACTGCCTAGGTGCATTTTAGATAGTTAAGTTAGTTAGGTTAATAATTTAAAATTTGTAGGTACTTATGTTACATCAAGTTTTTGGCGCCGTTACCGGGGAACGACTTATTTGATTGTTGATTTATTTGCTTTAGGTTAATCGATCCTTTTTTGTGGGGTAAAACCTGCAAAAAGTTATTTTTTTTCAGCTTAGTTTATTTTTTCAGAACTGAACTCACGACGTGAGCACGTAGGGCTCACGACGTGAATCCAGTCATTTTTCATTTTTCTCTATTTTTTCTGTTTTAGTTCAGTTTTACGTTTTTATTTTTGTTTATTTTGCAGTAGTTCATGACCAGAGGTTCCAACACACCTTTGGTGCCACCACTTGAAGATCCAAAGTTGGCCCTTCACAAGAAGACGGGTAAGAACGCAGGAGTCAACCAAACACCGAAGACGTCATCCTTCAAAGATCTCAAATCAGTCTTTGGAAAGATGTCAGGAAAGAAAGTCGGAGAATCTACTACATCATCAAAGGTTGAAAGCTTTGATCAAAAATCTAACCTAAAAGAATCCGGTACGAATCCGACCCAGAATTCGAACTACATAGAAGTGAACCCGAAGATGAGCCAGAAAACGAGATGGCAAACATTGCGGATATGTCCATGGGAGCTTACAAGAAGCGAATTAGAGATGATGCTGGTCCTGGCATAGTACAAACCGCAATTCCTGCAACTGCCACTTTTAAGCTGAAGGGACACATCCTTACTACACTTAAGGATGTACCATTTTCTGGAAAGGATCATGAGGATGCTTACAAGCATTTGGATGAAGTTAATGACATAGCAGACTATTTCAATGTCCCAAATGTTCCTAGAGAGATAATCTTGCTGAGGATGCTACCAGTCACTTTTAAAGGAGCTGCAAAAGATTGGCTAAAGGCCCTACCACCTGGTGCAATCACTACTTGGGCCCAAATGCACGAGCAGTTTCTAAAACAATTTTTCCCACCTTCCAAGATAGCTAAACTCAAGAAGGCAATAGCTAATTTTGAACAATATCAGGGTGAGTCACTTTATGAGGCATGGGAGCGCTACAAAGGATTATTAAGAAATTGTCCTCAAAATGACCTTAACATACAACAGGAAGTCTCAATATTTTATGGTGGTGTTAATGTCATAACGAGGCAGCTCCTTGATTCTCTAGGACCACTAACTAAGAAAAATCTGAGGGAAGTCAAGGAGTTGGTTGAAGAATTTGCAAAGCATTCTCGTGAGTATCACAATCCAAGGCTGGATGGAGTTAAAGGAAGCGGGGGTGGAAATTCTGCAGACATGGCTGCTGTATTAGCCATGCTTGATACTATGGACAGGAGAATAACAAAGATGGACCAGACAATACATGCTATTAGAGTTGGGTGTGAAAGGTGCAATGGTCCACACTTGACCAAGGACTGCCACTTGGATGATAATGGGAACAAAAGAGCTCAAGTTTGCTACTCTAGTGGGGATAAATTTGATGAAGACTGGAGAAAACCAAAGAAGGAGTGGCTGCCATATGATGAATACAAGAAGCAAAAGGAAGAAAAATATAGGCAGACAGGCCGAGGTTTCTACCAAAAAGAGCAACTACCAGCTGCGAAGAAAGTTGACTTGGAGAACATGCTAGTTCGTTTTATGGAAGCTTCCGAGAAAAGGGATGATGATACTGATGCAACACTAAAAGATCAAATGAAGATGATGAAAGATCAACAAGCTATGTTGATTGACCAGTAAGCCCTATTAAGAAATCATCAAGCATCGATCCACAAACTCGAAGCTCAACTTGGTCAACTAACAAATTTGGTGAATGAAAAGTTATCTTCACAATTCCCCGATAAAAAAGACTCAATCGCATGTCATGATGATCGAAACTGAAGAAGAGGCGATTTCTGAGTTCTTAGAAGCATTAGAAGAGGAGCCAAAACCATCCGAACAAAAGCCGAAGAAGTCAAAGCTTGAAAATAAAAATTCTACTGAAACACCAGACTCACGACGTGAGCCTTCTATGCTTACGACATGGGCCTAGTTTGAACAGAAAAATTCAGCAACTATTCTGGCTTATCGTCCTCCTTTACCATTTCCATCCCGAGCTAATATTAATCCACTGGAACGGGAGCATTTAGAGTTTATAAAGCACGTGAAGGGTATTCCAATAAATACTCCTTTTCTTGAGTCGTTATCTAAAATTCTTGAATATGCAAAGTTCATACAAGACTTAATAGATACTCGTCAACAATTGAAGAAAAATTCCAAGGTGATTCTTAGTGAACAAAGTTCAACAGTTGTATTGGGAGAGTTACCAAAGAAGATGGGAGATCCTGCACGCCTAACTCTTCTGTGTGAATTTGGAAATAATTTGAAGACATATGCTCTAGCCGATTCTGGGGCTAGCATAAATTTGATGCCTTTCTCATTTTTTAAGAAGCTCAATATTCCAAAATTGAAGGCTACAAGAATGACCATTCACATGGCCAACCGTTCAGTGACACAACCCAGGGGCATTGTAGAAGACATCTTAGTAAAAATTGGGAAATTTGTTTTTCCAATTGATTTTGTGGTTATGGACATGAAAGAAGATGCCAATGTTCCAATTATTCTTGGTCGCCCTTTACTAAATACGGCTGGTGCCTTGGTTGATATTCGCGAGTCCAAGCTCACTTTGAGAGTTGGAGATGAAGAGGAAACTTTTGGAGTAGAAGATGGTTTCCAAGGAAGTGATGTTCAAGGTGAGGTTTTCAATATTGATGAAGAAAATGAACTTGGAGAATTGGAGAAGTTAATGGAAGAAGAATTAAAGACAATTCAACAAGTCAAACGCACGAAACCAAGAGCATCCGTTCCATTTTTAGTTGAAGTAATTGCCTACACAAATCCAACTTCTTGGGTAAGCAAGGAAAGTGACGAGTTATCAAGTGACGAAGACGAAGATGAGGTTACTTCCAAGGAAAAGAGCTTGGCCATGGATGAAAAGATGGTTCCTCTAGAGCTGAAGGAAGAGGAAAAAGTAAACAATAAATTGCAAGAAAATAAAGGGACCAAATGCAAGCTTGAAGTGAATGAGATAAAAGCTAAAAGGAGAATTCGAAAAAGGCGTATAAACGACGAGTTCAAGCTTACAAAAGGCGATGGAAGGATCAAAAAGTTCAGTTGGTGATGGACTCTTCGGAAAACTCAACGTAAGGAGGCACGGAGTCCAGCTCACGACTCCATAAAAAAGAAGCGCTTCTCAGGAGGCAACCTGAGCTCGGTTTGAATTTTCTTTTCATTTTAGTTGTTGAATTTTTAGTTTTTAGGAAAATTAATCATCTCCTCATCTAATAATCTTCTGAATGGTAAAAAATTTAAGTGTGGGGTCCCTGAATTAAGTGGTAATTAAATTAAGATTTTTAGTATAATAAAGAATTTTTAATTATTGATCAGACAAAACTCACGATGTGAGCGCGTATCGATCACGACGTGAGTCCATAAGGATTTACGGACCATGCTCTTTTAGCCAAATTATTATATCAGCCCACTATTGCGTAATTAAATGGCCCAACTGATTAGCCCACAACTATTCACGACGTGAGTCATATAGATTCACAACGTGAATTTTGAAACACACGGGATCACTGGATTATTGGATCAGAACCCACTTTGAACAAACTCACTTTCTTATTCCTCACGAAGTGAAACCGGTTCCTTGGTCCCCCTCATCCCGAATTCGGTCGAGTCCAACACAAAATACATTTTTGC